AAAGCAACGAATTTAAATAGATAAACTTTGTAATATATCTTATTAACAATACAATGTAAAAAGGTTTATAAAAATTCGTTCACAGTAAATGAATTCCGAGGTTTGTATCTCATAAGGGCTTAAAGCACTCCACTATAGATAGCATTAAAAAAGTACGAAATATTGAGTTATTTTCTTATATAAATTATCAAATTTAAAAGTTTAGTAAATACAAAACCAATAAATATTTTTACATCTAGTACTCACAGTATAACCATATGCTTTATTGAGTGTATGTAAAAAATATATCATAGTTATAAATATATCTTACTTTAAATAAAGTTAATAACGCCAATTAAGTTATTAAGGTAAACTTTACCTCACTTTATTTATTGTTACAATAATGTTAGCGATTAAAAAATTATGCAAAATATAGTTGTCTTAATAACGCTTAAATATTACTTTTGCTTCATAAAATTTACATTTTTAAATTGGAACATATACCGCTATTTCTTTAGCCATAAAGGACAATTAGTTTACCCCGTTATTTAAACGTAGTAGGTACCTACCTACCTAACAAATTACACGAGAAAAATCTCCTCTAAATTAGCCTAATTTATCATATTCGAAAATTATAATTAACGCTATCGATCAGTCAAAATTGCATACATTCAAACCTTATTATTATTTGAGACGTTTAATAATATCTTATTCAGGCTTGGGACAAATTCAATTTAGTTCCCTTTGCTGCTGCCATCTCTCGAATATTACCGGGACTAATCTATCGGAAATTAAAAATAAATTTTGCAGGAGAAATTTTAGATTTTTGTGGTCTTTCCATCTTTTGACATATAGCGAAAGGTGCTTAATTGTTCGATTTGTTTGCTTAAAAATTGTTATAAGCATAGGATCGTTTTAACGGTAACACGACGGTAGCTGTAAGACTTCTCCATTTTTGTATAGGAATATGTATTATAACAAATTATATCTATCCTAAAGGATGTAGAATTTAGAATGTTTATGAGGGGAGTTAATCACCGCGATCTTACAGTTCTATTTTGTGTTCCCCTTTTTTGAGTTATAACGGGTTATAACTCATCATACGTCTCAGGGCTTTGACAAAAGCCAGTATCTGAGCCGGCTCCACAGAGGCCAGCTCTCCATCTTCGACATCAGCCATACCAAAATTTATTGCAGGAACGGTTGTCGACTAGGGGGCAATCAGTGATAAGGTTTTCTGGTGTTTCCCCATTTTCCCCACAGACTTTGCATTCGCCTGTAATACTCGTACTTCTCCATTTTCGTATAGGAATATGTATTATAACAAATTATACAGGGTTCGGCGATAGTGCGTCGGGCATCTGTAGCTCACTTGGAAATTTTGTTTAAGTGCAAACCTAAAGCTGTGCCTAAAGTATATACCAGGGGATGTATTTCAGGAAAATATTTTAACTTCTATAAGGTGACTCAAAAAAGTGTGAGTGTATAGAGATGATTTTTTTTTTAAATTGAACACCCTGTATATTATTGCATTTTTGGCTTCCTTTCAGATAACTTTACATAATTCTTAGACTCGTTATTAGATATGAATAAATATATTTCAATAGTTTTAAAGATATTAATAAATAAATAAAAAATATATATTTTTCAGTTTTTCTTAAAAAGAATTAAAAATACAAAAACTGTCCTGAAATCAAAACTATATTAGGTATTTACTTTAGATAGTCTATACTTACTTTGCTATAAATATCGTAATATTAAATCCAACAGGGTGTCCAAAATTCTACGCCAAACTTTCAAAAGACCTATACAATGGCGTATCTAGAGATTGAGTCTGGGAGGGGTAGCAATATTTAAATAAAGTACAAAATTTAAATTAAATTTTCCCTGAAAGGTACCTATTGTAGCTGTGGAAAAAGTAAACTTGGATTTGTCTGGATTTTCTATTTTAATTAGAATTATTAATTTCTTTTGTAACAATTTTTGTTTTATACCACATTTTATCACTTAAAACTTCTTCCTAGGAGGGGTGATTACTCCCATTACCCCTCCCGTATATGCGCCCCTGACCCTATATATTATTTTTTTATTAGATGGAGAGTTAAAAAAATGTACAACATTTTTTGTATTTAAAGTATTTCAAAAATTTTAATGGTTTCGCTGATACACCCAGTATTATTTCATGTGGCTTGTGGCTCCTTCAACGGTACAGTACAGTACGTCTGTCCGTTCTGTAGCTACGGGGTATCCGTGAGAGGGGAAACGATATTCTCTCGATGTTTTTCTTAAAAAATAGACGACGCGTCCCATCAATAAAAATTCAACAAATTTGCAAGTAGCCAATAAAATGAGTGATACGACGTACAGTACATCTGCTGGATCTGTGTCTATGAAAGGAATGCGGACAAAAAAACATTTAAATAAACAGCAATATATTTTATACGTCGATATGACGAGTACGTCACCGCAAATCGCTCCGCCCACTCATTTTATTGGCTACTTGCAAATTTGTCGATTTTTTATTGATGGGACGCGTCGTCTAATTTTTTACGAAAAACATCGAGAGAATATCGTTTCCCCTCTGACGGATACCCCGTAGTTACAGAACGGACAGACGTACTGTAAAATACGCGAGAAAAATCATTGGATGGCTTTGATAAAAATTTACTGTGGAAAATGCAATATGAAATATAAAACCGCGAATATCTGCAAAACCGTTATAAATTTTGAAATACTCAATACAAAAAATGTTCATTTTTTAATTCTCCATCTATTGAAAAAAATAATATACCCGGTGTTTCTTTTAAAAAACAAAGAAAAATTATTTTATGTTTTAGAAAGTATATTATACAGTATGATCGGAAAAAGACGGCGTCAGCGATGGCTATGAAATGAAGATCGCTGTCATTTCATATGTAAATGTATATGGGAAATGTCATCGATGTTCATTTCATAGCCATCGCTGGACGCCGTTTTTATTCGATCATACGGTATTTACAGCAAAGTAAGTAGGTACGGACCAAAAGTAAATACCTAATATAGTTTTGATTTCAGGACAGTTCTCGTATAACTCGTATCTCGTATAACAAAAAATTGCCGCCAATATTTTTAATTAAAATAATATTAATTGATTTTCGAAAGAGATTACGTTCATAACGTAATCTCGTCTCCAAACGTTAATCACTTATATATCAAATTAAAGCTATTTCTATTCTGTGCATGATATTATATAATGTTGCTTATGAAAAAGTTGCCTCAAATAGGAGTTGTTCAAACAGTATAGGAACCTTTATACAGGTCCGACAATGGTGGGTCGGCCATCTGTAGCTCCTATAATAATGTATGTCATTAAAATGATTTAAATCATTTAAGTCAAAAAAGATTTAAGTATTCTGTCAACTTGCAGCACTGATTTCAAGTCATCAAAAATTCGAATAAACTCTTCAAAATTTTTTTTTTGAATATAATATAATTTATACTATAATAATCAGTTAATTATTCTATGCCTTAAGGCAAAGAATATTATAGTTAACACAAGTTCGTAGTAGAATTGTGGTAGAATTATCTTTGCTTAAGATATGAATAAAAATAAACCACATTTTCTTTCTTGACAAAATGGCGAAGAACATTTTAAATGCTCTCTTAATCAATAGCTCAATTTAATTCGCCATTTAGACATTTTGTAAAGTATATTTTGCCTAATCTATAATAATGTTTATAACCACTTTTATTTCCTAATACAGTATTATGCCCCGTCAGGCCCCGTCATTATGCTTTATTTTAAACTATTTTTTGACACGAGAATTATAACTGCGACTTTACTGCGACCACAAACTGCACCTAGATATCCATTTATGTTTGTTATAATAATATGTTTTAATAAATAAAATGTTTTCTTCAAAGTTACGCTTGGTTTAATCTCTTTCTTCTATATATATCTGTATTGTGTTAGTACTGCATTTTTGTTAGTAAAATAATTTATGTATTTTTTTTAGTGCCTATATATTATCAAAAGTTCTCAGAAATAAACCAGCCTCATAAGTATGAAGACCACTGTCAAACGATATTATTTTATTTTGGGATAATTGTACCGATAATTAATGGCGATTTCGACTGGCTGCACTAAGCCGCACTCAATGCGAACTCGAACATAATTACAATTTCGACTGGTAAGAGCAAAGCAAGAGCAATCTAAAATTGTGTTCGACTCGCGTCGCAGTCGCAGAGTTGCACTGACGACCCGGTGCGGATTGTTTTTTCGTTCAACTGCATCAGAGCAGCTTCGTAAACTAGCACTCAGTGCAATAATTTTGGAACCGTTCATATACACGTTTGGTTCTGTCCAGTTCGCTCCAGCACTGTGCAAGTGCAACTCTTTGAGCAGTTGCTGCCGAACACCGATTGCGATTTTTCGGAGCAATTAACCTATAAAACTACATTTTTAATTTATAGGTTAATTGCTCCGAAAAATCGCTGCTACTTGTCACAGTGCTTTTATTGGAGCAGTCGCAGAGCGTAGCAGCTCCACAAAAATCGCAGACTGGCCCACCTCTAATAATAATCTCATCACATCTGTCAGTGAAATGAGTCAAAAAACATAGGTTACCGTCAATTTATATGTTTTCAATTTCAAATACTCGACGCTCATTGATCATGACGTAATCGTCTTCCTCGACAAAATACGGCATATTTTCCTACATAGCCCGCTATAGGGAGTTGAATATCCTTCTTCTATATATCCTTGGCTATAGGTCTAGGAAAGGGTTGGGTATAAAATTATGATAGTAAATTTTAGATATCCAACGGTCGAATAGAGAGTGAATTCCAGAGGTGAATTCCTACAGTTTATAAATATTACCCATATTTACTTCAAACATCGAGCAGTTTATTGAAATTAACGGTAAATTTTATAAAGAACATTTTTCAAATATGCATATGATACAAAAAAAATCAAAGTTCATTATGTCATGTAGTAAATACGACTTACGTAATAAATAAAAATATGTGATATTTTACCCATCTCTAATCTCAATGACAACTTAAAGACATCCGAAAGGCATTTCAAATTTTGAGGCTATGTAATATTTAAAGTTTAAATTTTAAAAGTTTAAATGCAAAAATTATATAGGAATGGCAAAATACCTTGCTCAACTAATAGTCGCCGGTGCACAAGTTGTGGGTAAAGCTTTTGCTAGAGCGATTAGACAAGAAATAGAAGCATCTCAACAAGCTGCTCAAAGATTGAATAATGCCAAAACTAGGACCGAAAGAGTAGTAAATCAAAAACTAGGACTATCTTTAGAAGAAGCTAAACAAATATTAAATATTACAAAATTAACTAGAGAGGAAATTGATGAAAGGTGTCTTATTATATCTCTCTGTGAATTGTATTATCTGAAAATACTATCTTTTTAGGTATAACACCCTATTTAAGGCAAATGAAAAAACCTCTTTATATTTACAGTCAAAAATTGTTAGAGCCAAAGAAAGATTAGAGCATGAGCTCTCGAATCCACAGGAAAATGCGAAGCAGAGAAGTAAAGAAGATATTAGTAGTGGTAATCCAACATAGTTAATAAAATTTATTAAAGTAGTAAAATGTTTATCCATTTGTTTTCTTTCTACTTGTATGTTATTTCACTAAGACAAAAAAACACATTCTCAAGATATATTTTATTAAGGTTTATAGCTTACAAACACTACACAATTTTGAACTTTAAAGTTAGGTGTATTTCAATTACAGTATTTTAACTTTTTAGAATATTTATTGTTAGCGAATAGTTGAGCTACCTTCCTGTACCACAGGAGTCTTATGCGTTCCATCACAAAAGGGTCTAGAACTTGTTTGCTTACAATTACACAGCCAATATTCTTTGGTTTCTTCTACTACAAATCTAATTGGTCTAAAAATTCAGATTTTACTTTTATTTATGGCATATCAATATATAATAAGATTTATAAAGTATAGTTTTCATTCCTTACTTCTGTTTAATTTTTAATTGTTCGTTTTTATGTGTACCATCACAGAATGGTTGCCTGTGGCTTCTTCCACATAAACACCATGAATAACGTCTTCCTATAATTATAGTATATAAATCAATTCTCTTTATAATATTTTATATCAAACCTGCTTCTAAAGTTATCCTAAAGGGTTTCTTGTCGTATACAATTCCATTATCACTTTGATGATCAGCCGAAATGATTCCTTCTAATTTGTTTTTTGGTATTTCAGAGGGCCCCTTTGAACTATAAAACTAATTTTTAAAAAACTATTTAGATAATTACATATTATTAAGGTATCTTTAACAGTTTTTACCCGTCTAAGCATACTAAATGTGTAACCAGGATACATTTTTGAATTCAATACCACTTTTAAGGACATATTTATTTGCATATAAAAACCGTTTATCTGCTGTTGTGTTTCCAGTAGCTACGCAAACTTATACTAAATTATTCTTACTTCTTTTATTAAACGTTTTAAAAACCGTAGTACAAGAATCCAATCAACCATAAAAAATTGGAAAAAAATCAAGGTTATGTCGTGGTTTATGTCATATGTCATGTTTATGTTTCCAAATGACAGCCCAAAGAGGTTATTTCTTGTCAAGGTAGAGTTTAAAAATATATTATGGATCAATCGCGTTAAGCCATCGCCATAATTACGTGGGCGCTTACGTCACTCAAAGACCTTCTTAAATGTGTTACATTATTTATTAACTCGCTTTATTTAGTAAAATCAATAAATACTTTTAATGAAATCTAATTTTTATCTATTAGTTTTACATATTTATATATGAATAATCTACAACTATTTAATAACTTGATTGGCGTTCAAAATAGTTATAATGAGTTGAGCGCCTGTTTCATTTTTTTAATGGATTTGTCTCAAAATTTTGATTCCAAGTTTGTATTTTTAGGTATTTTTAAACGAACGTATTTTATATTCAGCTTTATGTTTAATACTACATCAGTAATTTATTGATTGATTATTATTTTCCAGCTATATCACCATAGAAATTAAAGTATAATATTTATTAAATAATAATACCGCAGTTAACAATCTTAAAGGTAGGTAATCCTCTAGAGGTATTTGAACACTAAAAACACCTGCTTGATTAATGTTTGTCATTTATATATTTACATTATATGTTCAACCGTTTTCAACTTGTCAACTATCAAGAATTAAGTTTAGAAAATGACCAGCCGATCTATACTGCAAGTGTTTGAAGACTTTCAAAAGGCCCGATTAACATTTTCACAGACGATAGCAGACTTGGCTTTGAGGCCGCAGAATGTTCAAATTATGAAAAATGCAAATGTTTTAGGTAAATTAAATTATCATTTTTCTATTTTCATAAGCATTTAATTATTATGATTCTTTAAAACGAATTTGTGAAATTATCATTAGATCTCAAGTTACTATTACTTGTTATCTTAAGTTAAAACTGGACAATTTCAAGATTTTAAAAATTGTGATTTTATATATGTAACTTCAACTGTCCTACCATAGACTAATTTGAGTCTGCAGTCAAAATAAAACAGAAAAAAAAAAGTTTAGTTAAAATACATTGTTACTAAGAGTTTAATGAAATATGCTATTTCGATAATTTTTAATTAAAAAACCTATATATTTTACATACTGCTTTTTACATTTCCACTCGTTATTAAAAATATATTATTTTTTCGCTCAGGGTTTGTTCACCATTTTGTCAAGTAATTGAAAATTTTCCAATTTGTCGTTTGAATAATTGAAAACATTTCTAGAATTATATGTACAGCTTATTAGTTTACACTATTATGTATATTATATTAAATAGTGGTTCTAAAATATATAAGAATGCATACTACTATATCTGTAGAAGATCATTAAGAAATGTTTAGGAGGAAAGAAAACATTACTAAGATATTATTAATTACTTTGTTTATTCAGTTTTCCACATTTTTTAGTTATTTTTGTTTGTGCCTGTTTCAATTGCCTATTAAAATATATTTTTTTACCTTTACTTTAGTTCACAAGCGACATTTTAAAACTAACAAAAAATACTATAAAAAAAATTAATAAACCCGATAATTGCAGAAAACACCGAGGTGTGACGTTGTTGCTGTTATTTCTATCAATCTGTAGATCTCCAAAATAGTTATACAGGGTGGCGCAGCTCATTCGCATCGGTTGATTATACAAAAACGCAAAGATGTAGAAACAAAATATTTAATGGGTATATACAGGTTGTTAATTTGTTTTTTACTCGAGGCAAGAGCTTTATGGTTGAAATATGGCAACCTCGACCCGCTGGTCGAGAGACGACGCGACGGGACGAGTCGACAGCTTAGCTTAGTACTCATTTGGAATGTAGGCAGTGTTGCCATTCTGTTCCCCAATAAGTAACCGTCCAGTTAACAATCTGTATAGGAAGGCAATGTGCATAATTTTAAATTATTTTGAAATATACAGGGTATGTCAGAACTAAGACCCAACCAAAGTTAAATTTTTTTCTTATGAAACACCCGGTATTTTATTTCATATTTGGATCCATGGACACAAAATTAGGCATTTATTATAACGGTTAAATATGATTACACCTTTTGGTTTTTGTGATATTTTAAGATATTTAAAAAAGTAAATTGCTATAAATTTTAAATAAAGTCCATAAACTAATTTTGATTTTGAATATATAGCTACTAACAGTCACTAGAAACTTGCCATGACGACATTTTAGCCCTCTTGGTTGCCATTGTATTGAAAAATTGCTCTCTATTCAAAATCTGAGCTAAATAGGTATAGGAAACCTTAATATAGTTAGAAAGAACATTTGAATCTGCTTCGATTTATTTTAAAAAATACAGCGTGTTGTATTTCAAATAACGAAGTTTTTATGTAAAATATATATTTATATTAGACCAGCAATTTTTGATACCCCTGTATACATTAAACGAAGCAATCAAATTTTTCAGTAGAGTGTATTTATTTGACTTAAAAGTCAGCGCAAGAATTAATTCTGAAAAGCAATGTACAGAGTATTGACAATCTTTTTTATTGTAGCATGCATATTTAAATATCTTAAAATTATACCGTATGATCGAGAAAAAACGGCGTCAGCGATGGCTATGGAATGAAGATCGCTGTCATTTTATATGTAAATTTATATGGGAAATGTCATTGATGTTCATTTCCCAGCCAACTGGACGCCGTTTTTTTTCGATCATACGGTATTATATTTAACCGTTATAATACATCCCTAATTTTGTGTTCATGGATCCAAATATGAAATAAAATACCGAAGAAAAAATATAACTTTGGTATTAATCTTATTAGTTCTGAAACACATTATATATTTCAAAATAAATTTGAATTGTGCACATTGCGTCCCCACATATACAGTACGTCTGTCCGTTCTGTAGCTACCGGGTATCCGTGAGAGGGGAAACGATATTCTCTCCATGTTTTTCGTAAAAAATTAGACGACGCGTCCCATCAATAAAAATTCGGCAAATTTGCAAGTAGCCAATAAAATGAGTGGGCGCAGCGATTTGCGGTGACGTACTCGTCATGTCGACGTATAAAATATATTGTTGTTTATTTAAATGTTTTTTGTCCGCATTCCTTTCATAGACACAGATCCAGCAGACGTACTGTAACCATAAAATATTTTGTTTCTACATCTTTCCGTTTGTAATGTAATTTTTTATTTTTATATGTTTTTTTTTGTTATTGAAGGAATAAGAAATAGTAATTCTTTCTAGATCTGCTAAAACCGCTTATAAACGATATTATTCCCTCCGTAAGGCAATGCGCTTCGATAGCCCTGGGACGTTTAGTTCACAACGATTCTGAAATTGCAACTGAACTGATAGAAACTGGACTACTTCCGATCTTATTACAGAATGCATCATCGGGAAATGTATGTAGGTGACCAAGGTAGTAAACACAGATAATATATAACTATATAATATATATTATCTGTAATAGTAAAGCATGTTAAGTAGATTCTAAAATATATGCATATTTATCTAACTGTAAATAAAGATACATTTGTGTATACTTAACTTGCTCTTTTTGACCATATATGGTAATAGCAAAACCATTTCCGATGCACGTGATCAACTTTGAGTGACAAGCGATGCCGACAGCGTAGCCAGATTGTGATGGATTTATGAGATGAATCTTAATTTAAAATTAACAACATATTTATTATATCATTTTTTTAAAGAGTTTTACGTTTTATTTTTAATAACTAATATTTTAGTGATTAATTAATTTATTTGTTTTATAGCTTATTTTACTTATACATATTGGCAAAAACTAGTCCATTATGAAGATTATTATAAGCGTTATTGTGGGTTATTTATTTATTGATGTACATCTTACAACGCAATAAGTGGTAATAACAAGTAAGAGGGTGCTATTAATGCACAAATTTAATAAACACTAACTTTGAAAGTGGTGTAATGTGCTTATCAATCAAACTAACTTTTCTGACTGCAGTCAAGGGTAATAAAGGACCTTTATTGTCCCATTATCGTTCAAAATAGTTTAAAAAAGGGGAAGCTACAAGTTCTTTGTTTCGACTGTTTAAATGCTTCGGCATATTTTCACACACAAATTTCAAGAAATGCAATACAAAAAACTCGAAAATTTAGTTCTTAAAAGAACTGCTTGTGCTTGAAAGTGCAATTTTTAAAAAAAGGCTATGAAAATAGGCAAAAAACGAAAATTACTCACAAAGATTCAACAACACGATATACAAAATAATGACTGACACTAGGATAATTGTCAAATAATAAAGGACAACATTGCTGAACACGGCGCAATGTGACCAACATAGCGATAATAAAATTCGGTTTAAACTAATTTTTGCAGCTTTAATCTAAATAAAATATCTGTTACAATAGTTTGCTCTATAAAGTAAAATGAAGAGTTTCTTGGTATCTTAAATTATACAACAAATTTAAACATTTTTCCAAAATTTCATTTAGTCAGGTTTATATATAGACTTTAGTGTCAATGTCGATATGATTGATGACCTGCATCTGAAAATGTTTTGGGATTACAATATTTATATAGTTCTAACTCTGATTTTATTCAATTAATATATATATTTTTTAGAAATATCAGAAAACTGCTGTATTGTTTGTACTTCGGTCTATTTGCAAGCATAACGAGAGGATGGCAGAAATTATTGTAAAAAGTGGAGGTTTACAAACATTCATATTTTGTCTCGAAGACTTCGAGCTTTCGGTAGGTTCATATACATTTTCATTTCCAGTGATTTCCATGTGAAAATAACACTCTAGCGTTGAGATAAAATTAATATACTGTATTTTTTGTTAGAGTCAGAGTTTATTCATAGAGAATCCCAACTACAGAATAATTGAAGACATGAGTGGGTAAAGGTGTCTTGTCGCTTTTTTAAAGTTTCGAGTAAATCGGCAAACACGTCTAAAAATTATTGATGGTGTACAGTACGTCTGCTGGATCTGTGTCTACGAAAGGAATGCGGACAAAAAACATTTAAATAAACAGCAATATATTTTATACGTCGACTTGACGAGTACGTCACCGCAAATCGCTCCGCCCACGCGTATTTATCTAACTGTCTTTATCTAACTCACTTTATTGGCTACTTGCAAATTTGTCGAATTTTTATTGATGGGACGCGTCGTCTAATTTTTTACGAAAAACATCGAGAGAATATCGTTTCCCCTCTCACGGATACCCCGTAGCTACAGAATGGACAGACGTACTGTATGTGACATAACACCTTTATCACCTACTTCACCTAGGATATTCTTTATGGTATTTATATTTGATATTTACAGTCCATTGGAGGATAGATCTGCCAAAGGGATGTTGAAATACTGAATAAAATTGATTTTTAAAAAAATGCGACATGACACCTCTATCAACTCATCATTTCTTCAATTATAGGTCATTCCCTTTGTCATTCCAAATAAACTTTTAGTCACGTGACTAAGCTTAACCGGCACATCGTTGTCTACTTTTATAGATTTTCTTTTAATTTAAATATTTTAGGCAACAAAAATAAATTAATTATAAATATATAAACAGTCATTATTTACTTCAACAAAACTCACCTCTTAAACAAGCATTTAAGGGACATAAGGGGCCATTACTAATTACTACCGCTTTCCCGTTCAAAATATTGTAATAATGTTGTCATGAGTTTTTTGCAACGATTATTAAGCTATCTTGTGTGTTAAAGTGTCAAAACGACAATGACAATGTCAGGAAATAAATAAATAATCGTGGCAACTTAACCTGAATTCCCAGTAATTTAGAGTCTCTAATCTCCAACGTGAGACCCACTCTTGGATAAAATTTAATTTGTACTTTATAGAATATAATTCGCAAAATATCCATAACAATATTATGATGAGTATGTTTTAGGTAAAAGAATCGGCAGCTTGGGGAGTAGGGTACATAGCAAGACATAGTAAACAAATGGCTCAAGAATGCGTTAATCAGGGTGTCCTACCACTATTGATGCTTTGTTTGCAAGAACCTGAATTGAGCGTAAAGCAAATAGCCACTAGCGCCATTACCGACATAGCTAAGCACACTGAAGATTTAGCTATGTGCGTTGTTGATGCTGGAATTGCACCTTATTTGGTAAAGAACTTACATAATAGTGACGAAAAGTTGAAAAAACAGTCCCTAGCTGCACTAAGTAAGTAAATTGGTACTGAAACATCATTGTCTTCTTTAATGCTTCAGATTATTATATTTTAACGAAACTTGCAATGTGATTATGAAATAATATACCATGTGATCGAAAAAAAAACGGCTTGGAGATGATAATCAATCGAATCGATGATATTCACCATATAAATTTATTGTAATCGCAAAACATTTTCCGATGCACAATCATATCGACATTGATGCCGACATTGAAGTCTGTAAATCTGACTAAATGAAATTTTGGCAAAAATATTTAAATTTTTTGTATAATTATATATTATATACCGAGCAGGTCTTCATTTCACCTTATAGCGCAAATGATTGTAACAGATATTTTATTTAGATTAAAGCTGCAAAAATTAGTTTAAACCGAATTTTATGATCGCTATATTGGTCACACTGCACCGTTTTCAGCAAGGTTGTCGTTTATTATTTGACAATTATCCTAATATCAGTCATTATTTTGTATATCGTGTTGTTGAATCTTTTTGTTTAGTAATTCTCGTTTTTTGGCCTATTTTCATAGTTTTTTTTTAAATTGTACTTTTAAGCACAAACAGTTCTTTTAAGAACTAAATTTTCGAGTTTTTGTATTGCATTTCTTGAAATTGTATGTTGAAAATATGCCGAAGCATTTAAACAGTCGAAGCAAAGAGCTTGTAGCTTCCCTGATAAACTATTTTGAACGAGAATGTGACAATAAAGGTCCTTTATTACCCTTGACTGCAGTCAGAGAAATAAGTTTGATTGATAGGCACATTACACCACTTTCAAAGTTATTTCTAATTTCTACGTTAGTTTTTATTAAATTCTGTGATTATTATTAGTTTGTGCATTAATAGCACCCTCTTCTTGTTACCACTTATGGCGTTGTAAAATGTACATTAATAAATAAATAAATAAATAACCCATAATAACGCTTAGAATAATCTTCATATTGGGCTAGTTTTTGCCAATATGTAATAAGTAAAATAAGCTATTAAACAAATAAATCATATAGATCTTAATAACTTGAAATTAATTAAACAAGTCTCAAATTACAGGCAATTAGATGCATATGACAGCATCAGAATTAATCAATGTAAAGATAGTATGAACAGAGACAACGGTCCAATTCCTTCAAGTTCTTTGTTCCTACCACTCTAGTGGCGGAAATCTAACTGTTACGCTCGGTGGGTTCGACTCGGTTGGCTAGATCTTGCCACGCCCACTCTGTGCCCACTGAGCGAGTATATAAACGCTCCAATTGTAGATTGTATTTTAGTTTATAATCATCTGCTGATGATGCTAACATGGTTAGCGAAACGCGCGACCAGTGTAAAAGTAAAAGTGTTTTGGTGTATTGTGGTGATTTAGGGTTTTATTTTGCTGTGTAACACCAAAGGTTCCAACCCGCAACTGTAATCTTCGATGGCTTCACGGTCAACGGAACTGAATCTTTATCGTAAGTTTAGTACTAAGATTAGGTTATTAGGAGCAGATATTTGGTTTCTTAAATCATGCAAAGCCAATTCAGTTTATCCTAGTTTTATTAAAGTTGATATTCCAAAAAGTAACGTTAGTGATAAGGTAGAGAAAATTGCAAGACAAAAATGGCTTGATTTAGAAATCAAATTTCTGTATAGTAAACGAAGTATGCTTGATATTGAAGCCTATGGACTTTACAAAAAACTTACTTATAAGCTAACTAATGTAGAGTATGAATGTTGGTGTCTCTTTCAGAGAAATATGTTTGTGGTTATCAATTCAAAATGTGTTAAGAAAATGTCCATTTTGAATAATAAGTTTAAAAAATTAAAAAGCTCTAAAAACAAACACGTTTTCCAGAGAGACAAACATAGTAGAGAATCTTTCTTCGCAGACTTTTGATAAACATGAGCTCAGTTTATTAAACAAAGGTTTAAAGTTTGCATTGCCCAACTCTGGTAGCGCTATGGAGGAAATTGTCGTTGGTGTTGAAACTGCTATTCAGCACTTACCCGAGGCTTCTAAGGTATTTACAAGAGAGGCTTGTAGAAATCAATTATCAAAAAATATCGTTTCAAGTATATCATTAAAATCTAACAAGGAGCACAAGATTGTCAAGAGTTTGCGAAACAAAGATTGTTTCTACCTAAAAGCTGATAAGGGAAATAAGGTTGTTATATTAGATAAAAAAGACTATTACGATAAGGTTAACAACTTAATCGATAATGGTCCTTACATAAATTTGAAAAAGAATCCTTTGTCTAAGATGGTAACAGATGTTAAAAAAACTTTAAAAGAATGTAACAACCTTATTGATTTTTCTTTAAAGAGAAAATTGCAAGTATCATTACCAAAATTGTATGCGTTGCCAAAAATTCATTAACCGGACAAGTCTATGCGCCCAATTGTTTCGGCTGTAGGTTCTCCGACTTATAATTTGGCAAAATGGTTATCAAGGGAATTCGAAAATTTACCTAATCATGAACCTTCTTTTTCAGTTATAAATAATATTGAATTCATTAATAAAATTAAGAATATAACATTGCATGAAGGTGAAATTTTGGTGTCCTTTGATGTACCTTCGTTGTTCCCAAGTGTTCCAATTCCACATACTTTAGGCTACTTGAAGGAATTACTGAACGCAAATGGTCTCGACAACAAAACTGTGATTGAATATATTGAGCTTACATCGTTATGTATGAAACAAAATTGTTTTCAATTTAATAACAACTTTTTTGAACAGCGGGAAGGTACAGCAATGGGTAATCCATTTTCTCCATTTTTGGCTAATTTATTCATGAGCAGGTTTGAAGTGGAGGCTAACAATCAATTTGAGTATTTTCCAAGAGTATGGTTTAGGTATGTGGATGATATTTTGTTGTTTTTGATACACATTCAGACATCATAGATAATTTTATTTCTAAATTAAATAATCGTTTTCCTTCCATTAAATTTACAGATGAAATTGAGAACAACGACAGATTACCATTTCTAGATGTATTAGTTATTAGAAATACTAATAATTGCCTGGAATTTGATATCTGTAGAAAAAATACCACTACACGCAGATATATTCCTAATGAATCATATCATAGTATTGAACATAAAATGGCTAGTTTAAATTTCTTAGTTCATAAATTACTTAGTTTTCCACTTTCCAGCGAAAGATATGGAATAGAAAGAGATTACATTAGGAATGTAGCTTAGTGTAATGGATTTTCTCCTTCACTAGTTGATAAAATAATTAGAAAACGTAGGTATAGGTTAATGATTTCTGAATTTGACTTTTCAAGTGGAGAAAGATACTTCAAAATATTTTTCAATACCGTTTGATAGACAGTTATCCCGTGGTCTAAAAGGAATTTTTAAGAATGTCAATTATAAACTTGTGTATAGTGCTAATAATAAATTACAACAATTATTAGGTAATCCAAAGGATAAAACACCTCTACTGGAAAGGTCGGGTATTTATGAAATTTCTTGTAAAGATTGTAATCAGAAATATGTTGGGCATACTAGAAGATCAATATTAACTAGATTTAAAGAACATTTAGCTCAGATAAGATATGGTAGGCCGGATAAATCTTGCGTTGCCGAACATATTGTTGATAAAGAACATTCTATGGATCTTAATAACTGAAAATTAATTAAACAAGTCTCAAATTACAGGCAATTAGATGAATATGAAAGCATCAGAATTAATAAATGTAAAGATAGTATGAACAGAGACAACGGTCCAATTCCTTCAAGTTCTTTGTGCCTACTACTCTAGTGGCGAAAATCTAACTGTTACCCTCGGTGGGTACTGACTCGGTTGGCTAGATCTTGCCACGCCCACTCTGTGCCCTCTGAGCGAGTATACAAACGCTCCAATTGTAGATTGTATTTTAGTTTATAATCATCTACTGATGATGCTAACATGGTTAGCGAAACGCGCGTCCAGTGTAAAAGTAAAAGTGTTTTGGTGTATTGTGGTGATTTTGTGTTTTATTTTGCTGTGTAACACCAAAGGTTCCAGCCCTCAACTGTAAATAAATCAATTATTTACTAAAATATTAGTTATTAAATTAAAAATAAAACGTAAAAATCTTTAAAAAATGATATAATAAATATATTGTTTGTCACTTTTAAATTAAGATTCATCTCATAAATCCATCACAATCTGGCAGCGCTATCGTCATCGCTTGTCACTCTAAGTTGATCACGTACATCGGAAATTGTTTTGCGAATACCATATCTACATATTATTATATTTTTGTTGCGTTCCGACTGGATAATCAACAGTCTGTTTAACTAATGAGAGAAATTTATTAACACAAAATAGGAACACTAAAAATTATTTATCACTATACTAATAAAACTTACTAAAATACTAAAATGTCTCTATTAAGCATAAGTGCGATCAAAACTCGAATATGGCGATATCATCTGGAATCCATTTTATGAAAATCATAAAAAAATATTAGAGAATGTTCAGATGCTATTTTTAAAACTTCTGTCCTACAGATCGACTGGATTATCAGGATCCGCAGAAAAGCTTCCTTAAATAGGAATAAGGAATAATAACTACAGCGTTATTTGAAAAAGATTTTGATTTTTTATATTTTTAAAAACTATACCGGATGCGTCTCAAAAGTGGCTCACCCCTATAACTTTTTTATTTTATTCAGATAAAAAATCGAGATTTGCTATCTTAGAAATATGACTTAAATTAGGATTAATTGACATATTCAATTGTTTTCGGTCACTTCCTGTTTTACCGGAAATGACTACGACTTTTGATTTTTAAATGGCACCCTCGGTATTTTGTTACCGTAGTAAATACCAATTGTCAATATATGTCAACATTTTCGAATATGATTTATTTGAAATTGCAACATGCGATTCATAAGGACAATTTGACTCGAAATACCAAGTGTGTGGTACCAAATTATTCGTAAAAAAATGCTTTTTCCAAATATGCTAATGAGCCACCCTCGTTCCATTTGAAAAAATTAAGATATGATTAAAAATACGATTTGACTCTAAAAACTTTAGACGTTCAAATCTATTTTTCCGAGGCTCCTTGATTAAAAGATGGTGTTTTTAACATAGCCATGGCACTTGTTATCGTATATCGATATGGTACTAAATATGCCCCTCCCTAGTTATAATTCAAATTTGGCGCCTTGCCTTGACGGGAAAAGCGGTAAGGAAGTAGGAGGAGGGAGGAGCCTAACGACTCGCTTCGAAGACAACGACGCGCCAAGTTTCGAGGCCGGCCGAGGTTGGAAAAATGTGCGAAATAAATAGTTTTTATTGAAACTGTTGTGACTCTCAATAAATCAAAAACCGACGAAAAGCATTCTTCGTATACATGGCGCCCAACAGCGTGGAGCCGAAGCTGGAGAATTGCTGCTAACAAAATGGAATTGTTCAAGGTTGTCGACGAGACGCCCAAGCTTCCCGAGAACAAGAATGGCGGTGATTTTCTGGACTTTTCTGTTTTCGAAAAGCAGAGTTCCCACTCCCACAACCCCTTTCAAAGAATCAACGGACAGCAGTGACCAGTTGAGTCAATCAGACGTGGATGAAGAACAACATAATTATGGTATCCGAACGCCAGCGCAGAGGAATCAACCCTCTACACCCTGTAGGTTCTGTGGACGCCTACATTTTCATCGTGAGTGCCCAGAGAATCCTTACAGACCGGAAAACTGGAGCTGGGCTGGAAGCGACCCCCACCAGTTGAATCCGGCCAACAACTATCCAACACAATCATCGAGAAACTAGCACTAAGAAGTCGTTTCCAAATTGTGAATGGAGTAAGTACACAATCGCATCTTCCTAGAATAAAAATTAAAATTCATAATAAAGTTATTTTCGCACTTTTAGATTCTGGAGCTAGCGTAAATCTTATATATCTAAATGTTTTACCTAATCTTAATTATAACAAAAGTAACCAAGATTTTATTTTAACTTGTTATGACATCCAAGTTCAGTCGTCAGGGCAAATTAATCTAAATTTTGATATAGACTTGCTCCTTCAGGCAATTTCCCCGATTATGACACCTCCAGTTCAGAAAATGGCTCTTCTGAAGATTCAGAACCTGAAACCCCTGCTGACGAGTACTCGCCACCAAGTTTCGATGCCGTCCCTGAACTTAGTTTAGCTCAATCCGATTCTCAGATAAACTCAGACGAGGTATCTAGTTTCCCCTCCTTAGAGCTTAGGTTAGAGAGAAGAAATCGTCGGTTGGATTATCGATATTTCCCTAGAAATTATGCTGTTTTGGATAAAGCTCATAGTTCTATAAGGTCTTGTACCTCACCACCTTCTCCATCAAATTCGAATGTACCTAGAAATTATGCTGTTTTGCATAAAGCTCATAGTTCTATAAGGTCTTGTAACTCACCACCTTCTCCATCAAATTCGAATGTAACCCAATCTTAACTCGTCTATTAGACGTCGAACCGTAAAACCAAAGACTTGTACACTTAGTTGTTGCGCTTGATAATGGTTATTACCGACTTTATTAAACTTACCAACCTTACTACAGAATCTAAACATATTTCACACAAATCTAACAAAAGGAAGATTTGATTTGTACTTATTTTCATTTTTAAGTTTTCCATTCATTTATTTATGTTTTAAGAATTATTTTGAATTTTGTACTCTGTATTATCCTTATTTTTAGAAGATATAACTTAATATTTTTTATTACCTTGTTAGAGTTATTATTATTTAATTATTTTCATTTAGTTCATGTAAAATTTGTATTTTTGCATTGATTTGTGTAAAATTTTAAATTATTGTTTTAACCGTCATGGCAACGCTTTTTTCAAAGTGGGGGGGTGTTATCGTATATCGATATAGCACTGAATATGCCCCTCCCTAGTTATAATTCAAATTTGGCGCCTTGCCTTGACGGGAAAAGCCGAAAGGAAGTAGGAGGAGCCTAACGACTCGCTTCGAAGACGACGACGCGCCAAGTTTCGAGGCCGGTCGAGGTTGAAAAAATGTGCGAAATAAATAGTTTTTATTGAAACTGTTGTGTCTCTCAGGGTGCATCCATACTGTCATAGAAACGGCGTAACGACCTTGAATAGATTTCCAGTAATTCTATTGGCTGAAATTTTTGACAGATGAATTTTTCAGCCAATAGAATTGCTGGAAATCGATTCAAGGTTGTTACGCCGATACGCCGTTTTTAGGATAGTGTGGATGCACCCTCAATAAATCAAAAACCGACGAAAAGCATTTTTCGTATACACACTCTAGATTGAAATTTAAAATACAGTTTTGTTTTAAGCGAAAAAGTTAAAAGTTGACATATGATATGTCATTCTATTCATAGTGTCGTTTTCTATCGAATAAAGTTAAAAAATACCGAGGGTGCCATTTAAAAATCAAAAGTTGCAGTCATTTCCGGTGAAACAGGAAGTGGCCGAAAAGAATTGAATACGTCAATCAATCCTAATTTATATCTTATACTAACATAAAAAATCTCATTTTTTTATCTAAAAAAGTAAAAAAGTTATACGGGTTTTTATAGGAAAAAAATTTTCTACTTGTCAAAGATTAGATGTCAAAGAATTTAGATACGTCAATTTGGCTTACCTGCTTCAGTAGCGTATCGAATGTTTGTGTTAATAAGCATTTCGCCACTGCACTGTAAGAAAATCTAGTAATATCAAGTAATGTTTGGGTTTAACGCAGAAGTGTTTACGAAAAATAACTATTTTATTTTGTAGATTTCCTTTCAGTGCAGTGGCGAAATACCCATATAGGATTTTTTGGAAAGATGAATCCGCCACATAGGTATCACAGATAACACATATTATGTGTTATCTGTGATAGGTATAGACATTTTTTAACTAGCATGAAGTGAAATATCTCAAAAACGGCTAATTCAGACATTGACATATTATTATATATTTTTGAAAAGAGGATTTTGGAAACGAATTCAAAAATGCAATAATATACAGAGTGCTCCATTTGAAAAAATAGTATTCTTTCGGATTTTTCTATTTTTCGATCGTCTTTTGTTTTTTGCTCAGTATAATACTAAAATTTTTTAAATAAAAACATGAAACTTTTGTTAAAACTTTTTTTTCGTATTTCTTCAAATAAAGTTTTTAAAGGGGTGACAAATTATAAGGAAAAACCCTATACTATTTTTAGTTTATTTTTTTATATATTTCATATAAAATGGGTCAGTTTTTTTCTTTAGGGTATTATTTTTGTTACTAAATATTTTTGTGGTTTTGTTTGGTTTATTTATTTAATAAATGTTTTTATACTTTAATTAGAGCAGTTTTTTTACATTTCCAATTACATATTACTCGTTTATCGCAGAATATAAATTCATTAAATTTTTGAGATTAAGATTAAAATATATAATAATTGATTTAAATATAAAAGGGGCGCACCAAAGAAGGCTGCACGTAGGTGCCAGATACTCCAGGAACGGGCCTGGTGACAACCTACAAACTCCGAAAGAAAAATACAGTTTTATATACATTACGAGTATTTTCAGTATTTTGTAATAAATAACACAGAAAATGTTTATATGAATTGTGTCTTAGGTGCAATTGCACGACATTCCATCGAACTGGCTGAAGTGGTTGTAGAATCTGAAATATTTCCTACTGTACTTCAACATCTTTCGCATCCTTGTCCTGGTGTACGTCAAAATGCAGCTGCAGTCGTTAGGGATATCGCTAAACAGTCGCAAGAATTGACACAATTGGTAGTTAATTCTGGAGGCATTGGTAAGTAGATTTTACAGTATAATACTTATCAAATCCTATCCTTTGTTCTATCCTTTTCAAAAAGTCTAGAAACTTGGAGGCTGCAGACCATATTATAGCTCTTTATCAATGGATTATCAATGTCCAATACAGGGTTGTTCACCACACACGACACGGAATATTGTAGCTAAACGATTAGATTTTTACAAATTGTTAAGTTTTGGGTTCATTGAAGGTCTATTAGAGCTACAATTTAAAGATATTTTTACAAGATACAGAGTGTCCCAAATAAGTAAAAATTATTATAGTTGTATTTCTTTAAATGTAACACGATGTATATTATTCTATTTTTAGATTCTACGATTGAAATAAAGGCAAATTTGATCAAGGTTTATCACACTTAAACCTTACCGTTTTTGAAATATTTTCAATTTTATGAAATTGTAGTAAAAATTTTAAGGCTTCATTTCTCCAAGGGTATCAAAGTTTTTAATACTAAATATTTACTGCAGTTTATTTATTGATCAGATATTGTTTTGCAATAATAACAGGTTCAGTACTTGGCCCTATTTTGTTTCTGGTGTTAACAAGGTCATTGCAAATCTAGACATTAGCGGTAAAATCTGCCTCTTTGCGGACGATACTAGTTTCACTTGGAGCGGCCCAGATGTTGCGGCACTATATGATACTATATCCAGTGACTTACGCACCATTAAGTCTTGGTGCGATTCTAATCTCTTATGCCTCAACCTATCAAAAACTAAAGTTTTGTCATATAAAAGTACTATACAATCTTTTGTACTTAATAACACCACTATTGCCGTCGTGGACTCTGTGAAATTCTGAGGACTTATTGTAGAAAACTCGTTAAAATGGGACTTTCACAATGAAGCTCTATCAAAGAAACTAAGCGCTGCCTGTTTTGCGCTAAGATCAGTTTCTAAGGAACTTAACTTCTCAACCTCTAGAATAGCCTATTATGCCCTTTTTGAGTCACATCTTCGTTATGCCCTTCCATTCTGGGATACTTGCTGCGCAACAAAATTTGATCGTGTTTTCAGACTTCAAAAGAGAGCAGTTCGATATTTATTGGGACTGAACAGTAGAACTCACTGCCAGAATTTCTTTAAAAATTTGAAAATACTGACTCTTCCTTCTTTATTCATTTTTGAATCCGTTTGCTTAATCCGCAAGCACATATCTGCTATTCCCGAAAAGCCATCTCATAACTATCCACTTGGGAATGCAAAGCACGATCTTTATCTGCCAACCCCGAGCTCAGAACTAGTTAAAGGTTCAATACTGTACAATGCCAAAAAAATGTACAATCATCTGCCTTTGAATATCAAGTCGCTTTCATTCTTTCCCGCATTTCGTAAAGCTCTAAAATCATACCTACTGGAGAGAGCCCTATATGCGGTAAACGACTTTTTTTTTGATGTTTAATTATGAACAATTTTGAATTTTAAAATTTTGATCATCTCACACACTGGTCAAAGGTCAAGTATTTAATATATTATAACTCTAAAATTATATCTATTTACTGCGTACTGTTCTAAAATTGTCCATGTATATTCTTTTTGTAATTTTAAAGACTTAAATTTTTTTGAATTGTATTATTTGTATTGTGTATTTTTTATTGTTTGTATTTTTTTGTGATTTTGTTGTTTGTGAGTGCTTTGTCGATGAAGCTGTTTTGGCTTTTTGTACAATAAAGCGTTGTTTGTTTGTTGTTTGTTGTTATACTACTACCTTATACAGAGTGTCTAAAAATTTATATTAAATAATGTTAAATAAGTACTAGCTTTAAACGGCAATAGGTTGTTTAATTTAAATAGAACACCCTGTATATTTTAGGAGATTAAGATGCACAACTTAATTGTCTATTAAATAGTATTATGCCATTTTTTACCTATCTCTTCAAATTTTCGTAGAAAATGCATTTTCTTATAATTTAGACCTCATTTATCACTATACCCATGGAATATTGACATTTTAGATTATTTTTAAATATGTAACACATTTTCAAAAAGTACAAATACTAATATTGTCGATATAGTTCGCTTTTTTCTTTAAAAGATAAAAAATGGTTTAAATATTTTTTGTTAGAGAGGACCAATTAATATGATCCCAGTATTCAAACTACATTATTTGGCCGTTTACGTTGATTAATAATAATTGCTCCAAATAAAAAAAACTGAATTCTGTATGTGTATTAGACAATGTAGTAAAAAGTAACACATTATAAATTTTATTTAATTTTTTGACAAACGCTTATTTATAACAACAGAGGCGGTCATTTTCATAACTTATTATTGTATTGATTTCTGAGTCAAATCCACATTTATTTAGACTAATTTATTAATTAAAACAATAAGGTATGTAACTAACTAATTTTTGGGCGGAAATAATGGTGGTATACTCGTATTAATAATTAAGTAATAATTGGTATATTCTTTTACAAAGATTTAAAGAGCTTCCTTTTTGTAAACAAGCTTGCAATATTATTATTTTTGCCACCTGTGCATTTTGTACATATGTTGCTTTAAAAAAATCTAAAATGTCAACATTCCATAGGTATAGTGTACTATACCCATGAATATACTAAATGTAATAATGAATATACTAAATTATAAGAAATGAATTTTCTACGAAAAATTGAAGAGATAGGTAAAATTGGTATAACATAATTTGATAGACACAATATCTGATCAGTAAATAATCTTCAGTAAATATTTAGTATTAAAACCTTTAATACCCTTGGAGAAATGAAGCCTTAAATTTTTTACTGCAATTTCACAAAATTAAAATTATTTCAAAAATGGTAGAGTTTATGTGTGATAAACTTTAATCAAATTTACCTTTATTTAAACCGTAGAATGTAAAAATAGAATAATATACAGGGTATTCCATTAAAAAAATACAACTATAATATTTTTTACTTATTTACTCTGTATCTTGTAAAATTATTTTTAACTTATAGCTCTAATAGTCCTTCAACGAACCCAAAACTTACAATTTGTAAAAATCTAATCGTTTAGCTACACTACTCCGTGTCGTATGTGTTGAACAACCCCGTATAAAGAATCGCTGTTGCACGGACAATATATATATATATTGTTGAACAACCCCGTATAAAGAATCGCTGTTGCACGGACAATATATATATATATTGTTGATATATATATATATATATATATATATATATATATATATATATATATATATATATATATATATATATATATATATATATATATATATATATACACTACTCCGTGTCGTGGTGATGGTGAACAACCCCTGTATAAAGAATCGCTGTTGCATACAATATATATATATATATATATATATATATATATATATATATATATATATATATATATATATATATATATATATATATATATATATATATATATATATATATATATTTTTTTTATTATTGTAAAATTTTATTTTACACAATATAATGACTTCAACTTTTTTAGATAAAAAATTAATTAATCAAAATAATTACAAAACCTACAATTTTTTCAAAAATATAAATTACAAGATTAATTTTAATGACTATATACCTACTATGTATATTTAAGGAGGAAACACAAAAAAATAATACACACTAAATAAATTAAATTTTATTGCCCACTAAATAACACTATTTTGTTGCTAGTATGTCTTAAACTAATTGCCTTGTTTTTATTGATGTATCTAACAATAATAACCTTAACATTTTTAAAAAAAAATTAGAAAAAAACCGGAAAATAATTCAGATTGACAAAATATGCACACGACTTCATCCATTAACCCCATAAACTTTATATGCCCATTATTCTCTACTAACAATGTCACGTTAGTAGCCCACTATAGTTTTTCTGTGTTTGTTTATCAGATCTGCCCTAATTTTAACGAATATCTATATCAAATATACCATCAGGAATATTTTGAAAAAAAAAATAGAAAATTTTACCACCCTGTATCTAAAAAGTTAAAATCTTTAGGACATATATTCTTAGAATAGTTTTTTTTTCTTAGAATAGGTCCAAGAATCACCTCCTTAAATATTAGCATGTTATTAAGGAACACCCTGTATATTTTTCTACTATTTCTAGTATTGTGTCATTTATTAGAACACAAGTTTGTTGTACAGCTGGTTCCAATGAAATTGAATACGATTTAAAACATATTTTTATTATTTAGGGCAGTATATTCTATGATACCAGTTCTCCATTTTTCTGAAAAGTTTATTTGCCACTTTGTCAAAAGCAAAGTTGTTTTATTCAATGATACTATAACCTTAATATGTCAAAATACTTGACACATAAATATACACTGCCTTTGTGTAAAAAAATGTGTAACGAGTCGTATTTATTTTTTTTGGAACAAGCTGTACATTACCTACGTTAGTTTTTCCTAAATTCATTCATTGAATGGTTGTCAGCTTGTTCTACTTAAGGGTTAGGGTTCGTCTTGCTATTAATATTTATACAGTGTGTCCCAGAAATAAGTGCAAGTATTTTAACTTTTTTTATTTGAAAAACGATAAAGAGAAAATATGTTTCTTTTATCGAGTTCTACCACTCCTTAAAATACTTGCACTTATTTCTGGGATCTGGAATTAACAAGTTAATGCTTGCGTTTTAGTATGAGAGCTAGCAACGTCGGAAAAATAAGTATATTAAGACGTCTGGCTCTTTGATATGTTTTTTACTATGCTCTCTAACAGAATGCGGCCCATCTGGCTGCCGGTAAACGTTGCGTTCCCTACTGCGCATTGAAAGCAGATCCTATATTTTTATTAGTCCTTTAAATTCTAGTATTGAATATAAATCGAACATGTCTCCATAGCCCAGTGCGTAGAGTTTCCGACCACGAACCGATGATTCAGAGTTCGAGTCCGGGTCAAGTCAAAGACTTTTATATTTTATTTTCGTTTATATTCTGACAGTAAAGTATTAAATATTTGTTTTTGTTTAACTACCAGAATTATTGCACCGCATGCTGTTCCAGAGAGCATAGTAAACGATATATCAAAGAGCCAGACGTCTTAAAATACTTTCTCGAAAACGTTGCTAGCTCTTAGATTATTTGGTTTTGTTTTGTGTTATTCTCGAGATTAACCGGGTAATGTCGACATTAACCTGATATCGGACCTTAACCGTAACATATACATTGCAGCCGCATTGTTAGAAATAATACTGCAACCTGCAACCAAAGAACCGGAATCAAGAAATGATGCCCGATTACCTTGCGTCACTGCCTTGGGATTTATAGCAGGTGATTAGTACTGTATGATCGAATAAAAACGGCGTCAACGATGGCTATGAAATGAAGATCGCTGTCATTTTATACAGGGTGGGCCACTGAAAACTTACAATGGCTATAATTCTTAAACCAAAAAAGATATCAAAAAATTAAAAAATACCGTTTCTATAATATCGAGGGGGAATACGTATGACGTATTTATTGAACCACCCCGACCTACCCCTTAGGCGGCACCCCTACTCACTTGAAAATCTTAAATGGCAACACCCCACTTGTGGCGCCTTTTTGGAAAGTCCATGAAAAATGCTAAACGATGATCATAAAGTTTTTAGGGTGAAATTGAAAAACTACCACTTACACGAAAAATTAGGTGGACATTAATTAAAAAAGTGATTTTTTCAGCATAAGTTACAAATTGGGACCCAGCTTAATGAGGCAAATGAGGTATTTTTCAAACCACCCCGACCCACCCCTAGGTGCCACCCACTCACTTCTAATCTCAAGATAGCGATACCCCACTTGTGACACTCCTTTGGAAAGCTAATTGAAATTGCTAAACGATGGTCATACAGATTTCAACTTCTGTCTTCTTTCAACAATTATTGGTAAGTAGTGATAAGAAATGTAGGTTTGACAATTTGAACGAAATTTAAAATGATAATTTATTTTAACAATTGCTCAAAATGACAGCCGTTTTGTTCCATACAAAAATACAAACCATTTTCAAATTTCTCACGAACCCGGTTTTGTCTTGTAGACTATGGATTTAGTATAACCCCACAAGAAAAAGTCTAAAGGAGTGAGATCAGGTGACCTTGGCGGCCACTCGATTGGACCTCTTCTGCCAATCCATTGCCTTGGATAATATCTATCCAACCACCGCCTTGTGACAATAGAATAATGCGGAGGGGCTCCATCTTGCTGAAAGTGTATGAGGTCTTCATTAAGAGATAAATTTCCTTCCAAATCTCTTTGATTTTCAACCTCATTTACAATGGATGGTTCTATCAAATTGTTCAGCATTTCCACATAAGCATCACCAGTCAAATTTCCGTCGATGAAAAATGGACCTATAATTTTATCGCCTAGTATTCCGCACCAAAGATTGAGCTTTTGGGGATGTTGGGTGTGTCCTTCAACAACAATATGCTGATTCTCATCGCTCCAGTATCTGCAGTTCTGCTTATTCACAATTCCGTTTAAAAAAAATGAACACTCATCACTAAAACAAATATTTTTAGTAAGTGAAGGTTCTCTTCGAATTTCCTCCCTCATTAGTTCACACAACTGAATCCTTCTATCTGGATCGTCGTCGCCAAGTTCCTTCAGAATCTTCATTTTGTAGGGATGGAATTTGTGCATTTTCAATACTCTCCTGACAGATGTTCGAGGTATACCTGTGATTGATGTCAACTGGCGTGTTGATGCTTCTGGATTGACCGATACCTGAACAATAACTTCCATCTGCATTTCTTCATTCAGTACCCTGGGCCCTGTCTTTGTTTTATTTTTGACCGACCCAGTTTCTTGAAACTTTAAAATCAAATATCTAACATAAACGTGACTTATGTTTTTGTCCGGATTTCTCTCATTGAAAGCACGGGCCGTTCTCAAATAAGACATACCTTCAGCACCGTAAAGAAAAACTATTTGAATTCTTTCTTCCACAGTATAAACCATTTTTCTTTCAAATAAGCAAATCAAATAAACGTTTAAAATACCACCAAATTTGCAAACGATTGAAAATCGATAGAAGACAGTGCAAAAACGCAAAGATATGCCGGTTTAAGATTCCTGTTTGTTGAAAGTAAAAAAATAGATGATAAGGAAGAATTTGCGTTATCGCAAAATTAGGCTGTAAAAACATCTTTTTGTTGCTAATCTACATTTAAAAATGGCATTGATGAGATTAAAAGTGAGGGGATGGCACCTAGGGGTGGGTCGGGGTGGTTTAAAAAATGCCTCATTTGCCTCATTTAGCTGGGTCCCAAATTGTAACTTATGCTGAAAAAAGTACTTTTTTCATTAATGTCCACCTAATTTTTCGTGTAAGGGGTAGTTTTTCAATTTCACCCTAAAAATGTTATGATCGTCGTTTAGCATTTTTCATGGGCTTTCCAAAAAGGCGCCACAAGTAGGGTATTGCCGTAAAAGATGTGCTGGCGTGCCATTCAAGATTTTCAAGTGAGTAGGGGAGCCGCCGTCGGGGTGGTTTAAAAAATACGTCATATGTATTCCCCTTCGATATCATAGAAACGGTATTTTATATTTTTTTGATATCTTTTGGTTGGTTTAAAAATTATAGCCATTGTAAGTTTTCAGTGGCCCACCCTGTATGTAAAAATATATGGGAAATGTCATCGATCGTCATTTCCAAGCCAACTGGACACCGTTTTTTTTCGATCAGACGGTACTTTCTTAAAACTGTATATGTACTCGTATGTTGATCTAAATCTAAATCGTAGGTCATTCTGCCCAATTAGCGATGACAGTTATAGGCTGTCGGACAGTCCAGTCGTTGACGGGAATATTGAATGGATCTACCGATGACGCTCTCTTATCTGCCGTTGCGTGGACTATAAGCCAGATCGGAAGACATAGTCCAGAGCATGCTAAAGCTATAGCGAGCACAAATATTTTTCAAAGGTGAGAAGCTAATATATATTTTTTTGTTACAGTTTTTGACAAGTGAAAATGTAAGAACATATATTAATATTAGTTAATTTTAAGTGAATTTCATTATTATTTAAAAAAGTAAAAAAAGTAAAGTAAAGATTTCAGTTAACGTCTCCTTTTTGCTGCCAGGGCTAATCTGGACGGAGCCTACTTGTTTACACGGAATCCGAACCGCGGTCCTCGGCCATATCATGGTCAAGAGCCTACCGACTTAGGAAGTGTGGTTAGCCGAGTCTGACACCTCGCAATACCAGCATTTAGCAGAGTCAACCTTGCGGATCCTGTGCAGATACTCGCCAAATACTCCATGGCCAGTCATGGCTTGCGTGATGTAGTAGTCCGTGTTTGCTTGGTCGCATTTTATCCAATCTTTAATATTGGGTATGAAAGTATTTTTCCATCCGCTATATGCTTCCCATCGTGTCTGCCATTGCTCTAGTACCATGTTTCTGGCCTATATTATTTGATTTCTTTCCTGGATCAGTAGACTGACTGGAGGTATCTTAGCAAGACACAGGACCGCTACTGTTGGACATGTGCAGTATGCCGATGCAACCCTGAGTGCTAACTTCCTATTTATCCTTTCTAGTATGTTTTCGTAATGCTTGAAGTGCATGGATCTGTCTCAGATCGGCGATGCATAGAGTATGGTCGAATGAACTACCGAAGCGAGAAGTCTTCTTTTTTCCGCGCGAGGTCCTCCGATATTGGGAGTTATTCTCGTCAGATGCTGGATGATGCCAGTCGTTTTATCCCTGATTTCTGTGACGTGTGAAGTCATTCGCATGCCCGAGTCGAACCAAACCCCCATATATTTAACTTTCTTTTGAGGTTTTATAACTAAATTATCCAGCTTTATGCTTAGATCTTTTGTCTTGCGTTGTCCAACGAGAATGACCAGCTCAGTTTTTTCGGGGGCCAGTTTGACGCCCATGCTTTCCAACTTATTTTTAATCGCTAGCGCATCCGTCTGAATCTTTTCTTCAAGGATCGTGTAGGTGGATGCAGTTATTAAGAGGGCTAGATCGTCCACGTAAGCTAAGATCGTGTTGCCCAGGCCTGTATCTGATCGTAAAATATATTCCAGAGGGTGGGTCCAAGGATCGAACCTTGAGGGACTCCACACGTCATTCTGTGTTTCCCGCCGTACTGATGATGACATATCTATGTGACAGGAACGACTGTACCATGCGTGCAAGGTATGGGCTAATTCCCTTATGCTCTAATTGCCCAGCCATGGAACCGAATTGAAAGCGTTCCTTATATCAAGGGTGAGTAATGCTAAAAATCCTCTATGTCTTGGTTTTAATTCGATCTACTTCGTTGTCCACCATGTTTAATGCGTCAATGGTGGACTTCCCTTTCCTAAAGCCGAATTGATTAGGGTGAAGTTTATTGCCTTCTTCTAGTTCTGATTCCAGTCTATCTCTTAATAGGCATTCTAGTAACTTTCCGCTGGAGTTGAGTAAACAGATTGGTCCCTTTTCGGTTTTTCGAAGTTTCAAAATCAACTCTTACTCACGAGATATCCGATCTCATCCGGCCTCGAACCGGCGTGAATGAGCAGTGTGTATCAATAGATTTTACACTTTTTTGATTATAGAGGATTGGTTTTAAATTAGTGCAAATATTTTCAGGGCTGGCAGATCTCGATAAAATAAACAGATTTTCTCTTTGCTGAGTTATTCAAGTTTGAAAATCAAAAAAAATATATATTTTTTTTAAATTATACAGGGTGGCGCCTCTCATACGCTGCGGAGGCTCCAAGGAGAACGACAGTTTGTATTGAAATGACATTTTGTGTGCATATGTAGGTTAATTCAGAGCATTTTTTAAAAATATAGAGAGTTCTACAGGGTGTCCCCAAAAAAGTTACATTATCAAAGTTGTGTTTTTTGTAATGAAACACCCTATATATTAATTGATTTTCGGATTCTGAGCGAAAAATAAAGGTGAGTTTTATAAGAGAATTATATGACTAAAATGTAAGGTTTTTGACATATTTAACATTTTCTAGAAATAAAGTCCAATTTTTAAATTACAATGAAAGCTACCTAAATTGGAATTTACCCATTTACGGTATAGCCTAATATGTAGTTAAATTAAGTATTGTACTTTAAATCAAATTAAAACTTTTAATCCAAAAAGTTATACAGGGTGAGACAAAATTAATATTGAACATTGATCACCTTTAAAATCATGTTACTCTCTTATTTTAAATAGAACATCCAGTATATTATTCCGATATTCAATGGAGAATTCATGTCTTTTCAAAATACTGTTAAGGTTGCCTACCCCTCAAACAAAGATTTTCGTTGATATTTTCATTTACATGATTTGATCTGAGTAGATCTTTATTATTTGACAAAACCTAGGTGGCTGTGATATGTCTGACGTTACTTCATCATAGCTGTCTAATTAGTCCAACTTTTTGTGTCAGTTAAAACAAAAAAGTTTCTCAGAAATTATTACTGACTTATCAGAATATTTACTGACACAAAATCATAAAAATTAAAATATCTGGGAAAATCTTTGTCTTAGGGGTAGATAACCTTAATAATATTTTGAAGATATATAAATTCCCCATTGAACACCGGAAAAACATATTGGGTGTTCCATTTAAAATAAAGGAGTAACTTGCTTTTAAAAGTGACTAATGATCCATATTAATTTTGTCTCACCCTGTATAACTTTTCGGGTCAAATTTCAATTTGGTTTAACATACAGTGGTTACTGTAATTAAATATCAGGCTATACAAGGTCAACTAAAATTTAGGTAGCTGTTATAGAAATTTAAAATTTACTCTTCATTTTCACAAAATGCGAAAAATGTCAAAATCCTCCGATTTTAAGTATATGCTTCTTTAATAAAACTCACCTTTATTTTTTTCTTAGAATCCGAAAATCAATTAATATATAGAGTGTTCAATTAGAAAAAACACAACTTTGATGTGTAACTTTTTTTGGGGACACCCTGTATAATTCTATATATTTTTCTAAAATGCCTTCAGTTAACCTACATATGCTGCCAAAATTTCATTTCGATATAAACTACCGTTCTCCTTGGAGCTTCCGCGGCATATGAGAGGCGCCACCCTGTACATTTTAAAAAACATTACATACAACTAGTTCAGTCATTGGGGATCTTTGCTTGGAAAAAAGTCCAGAAGTTTTGCAACTCTGCAGGTTTATAGGTTTTGGGGTCCCTAACTAAAATCCATAAAATGCACATTTCCAGACTTGCCGCCGGCGCCGCCATCTTGCCAAGATGGCGCCCAAAATCGGTATTTTGTAAATATCTCGAAAACTATGCGTTTTTCGCAAAAATTTGAAGAGAGCAAAATTAAAGAGAATAAAATTTCTTATAAAAAGGTTATATGAGAATTTTTGCTAAAGTCAACCCTTTAGACACAAAATCCGTGGAAATTTTACAATTTTGCGGAAAATATGATATATTATGTATAGTCGATTTTCCGAAATCAAAAGTCGATTAGGGTTCACTAAAACTAGTTTTAGTTTAGTTTCTTTAATTTTGTCATGAAACAGTGGCGTATCATTAATTCACTCATTCATTTATGAATAATTAATTTTAATTATTGAAAATGTGTACTTTGTTTCCACACCACCCAAGAGGTAAAGTCATGGGGCGTTTATTTTAACGTGGTCTCCCCGGAGGCCTATTCCACTAGATAAATTAAAAACTTTAACTTATTTGCACAAGCCCGACGGACCTGGCTCTTTGATGTAAAGTCGATCGCGTCTGCTGTGCTGGGTTCTTCAGGGTGGTCTCTCAATTCGTCCAACTCTTCATCTTCAGCCGCCAGAGGGATAACTACAGGCAAGTCCAACTCCTCTTCATCGGATTCGTCAAGTGACACTTCAGTGACGTGATTTCCCATTGCAGTATGCACAAATCATTGATCATTTTAATCCTTCTTTTCTGCATCCGCAGGCTTTACCATAGTTGTTGGTTTTGCTTTTACAGGATAAAAATGCCAATAGGGATTTTGGAGCTGACTCTGTCAACGTTGTGACTGGAGTAATGCCTGTTTTTGTTTTCTTCCAACCCCATTCTTCGGCATCTTTGGTACAACCAGACCAATGCTGAACCTGGTGGTAAATTCGCAATAAATGCTGTCCAGCACGACAATTAATTATATTATTCATAAATTAATTATTATTATATTAAACGAATTAATGATATGCCACTGTTTTATGACAAAATTGAAGAAACTAAACTAAAACTAGTTTTAGTAAATCCTCATCGACATTTGGTTTCGGAAAATCGCCTATACATAATATATTATACTTTAAGCAAAATTGTAAAATTTCCAGGGACTTTGCGCCTAAACGGTTGACTTTCGCGAAAATGTCCAGAGAACTTTTTTTATAGGAAATTTTCTCTTTAATTTTTCTCTCTTCAAGTTTTTTCGAAAAACGCATAGTTTTCGAGATATTTACAAAATACCGATTTTGGGCCGGCGGCAAGTCTGGAGGTGTGCATTTTATGGATTTTAGTTAGGGACCCCGAAACCTATAAACCTGCAAAGTTTCAAAACTTCCGGACTTTTTTCCAAGCAGGCCCCTTTTTTGATCCCCAATGACTGAACTAAATATTTTAATCTTTTTTTGTGAAAAAACTCATAGACGTGTTCCTGGGACGAAATATACCACGCCTAAAAATATTTGCACTCATTTAAGACTTGCCCTGTATAGTTACTTACCTGAAAAGTACTTCGTCATCTATCTCAATTTTTTTAACTAGAGATCCACCGCAGGTTGCGCAACTAACTATTTTACATATTTTTTACGCCATTTTCTGGAATTTGCAATATTATCACTGCTAATTTAAGTTCTGACACAATATCCTTCTAGATTTATTACTTTTAAAAATCAACTGTAGAATAAACAATATAAAACATAAAATAAGCTCAGAAAAGCACGACAAATCCGCAAAATGTGTCAATTAA